CCTCGTACTCCTTCAGGTGGTTCAGCTGGTCCTCCAGGGTCCCGTTCATCTCGATGGAGATGCGGCCGATCTCCTGCGAGCGCGGCGTTCCCTTCCAGAGCGGCCCCAGAGCCCAGCCCAACGCTCCCGGCCCCCCCGGGGGAGCCCAGAGCCCTCAGGCAGGAATTCCATCCCGTTCTCCAGGATTCCACACACCCAGCCCTTCCCATGGCTTGGCAAGGTGGGGTAACGAGGGCATGGAGCAGCCCCAGAGGTGATTCCACTGTCCCCACCACCTCCACCTTCCACCATCCCCAACCCTCTCCATCCTGATCTCCACCACTTCTACAATGTCCACCATCCCACCATCTCCACCTTCCAACATCCAACCCTCTCCATCCCAATCTCCACCATCCCACCATCCCCACCATTCCACCCTCTCAATCTCCATCTCCACCATCTCCATCATCCTGCCATCTCCATCTCCACCACCCCACCATCTTCACCTTCCACCATCCCCAACCCTCTCCATCTGATCTCCACCATTTCTACAATCTCCACCATCTCCATCTCCATCTCCATCCCACCATCTCCATCTTCACCATCCCACCATCTCCATCTCTATCATCCCCACCATCTCCACCCTCTCCATCTCCACCATCCCACCATCTCCATCTTCACCCTCCCATTATCTCCACCATCCTACCATCTCCATCTCCATCCCACCATCTCCATCTCCACCATCCCACCATCTCCCCCATCCCAACCTCCCACCATCTCCATCTCTACCACTCCACCCTCTCCATCTCCACCCTCTCCACCATCTCACCATCCCCATCTCCACCATCTCACCATCCCCCATCTCCACCACCTCCATCTCCACCATCTCTATCTCTACCATCCCCACCATCTCCACCATCTCCATCTCCATCCCACCATCCCACCCTCTCCACCATCTCATCATCCCACCACCTCCATCTCCCCCATCCCAACCTCCCACCACCTCCATCTCCACCACCTCTATCTCTACCATCCCCACCATCTCCACCACCCCACCATCTCCACCCTCTCCACCATCTCCACCCTCTCCATCTCCACCATCTCACCATCCCCACCACGTCCATCTCCCCGATCCCACCGTCCCCCCGCCCCACGGGGCGCGTTCCGGGCTGCTCCCTGACCTCCATCTTGGTCTGGATCCAGGGCCCCACGCGGTTGGCCTGGCTGCCGAACTGCCGCCGCAGGTGCTCGTTGGAGTTCTGCCGGCTCTGCTCCTCCTGCAGCGCCTGGTCCCGCTTGGGCACCAGCTGGGAAATGCTGCTGGGAAAAACAGGAAAAGAGTGGGAAATGGGGAAAAACGGGAAAAGGGTGGGAAATGGGAAAAGGGATGGGAAACACTGCTGGGAAACTGGGAAAAAATGGGAAAAAGGTGGGAAATGCTGCTGGGAAAAACAGGAAAAGAGTGGGAAATGGGGAAAAACGGGAAAAGGGTGGGAAATGGGAAAAGGGATGGGAAACACTGCTGGGAAACCGGGAAAAGGGATGGAAAAAGGGGAAAAAACGGGAAAATGGACGGGAAACACTGCTGGGAACCTGGGATGGGAAACTGTGATGGAAAAGGGGAAAACCTGCAGGAAAAGGGGGAAACACGCCGATAAAAGCGGGACCAAGGGTGGGGAGGGGGAGGCTCCCTCGTACCCGCTCCCACTTGGAGTTGATGATCTGCGGCGTGACCGAGGTGTAGGGGTTGTTCCCGGGCAGCTGGATCCCGTGCAGATCCGCGATCCGCTGCGCCTCGCGCTGGATCCCCAGGATCGCCTCCCGCTCCTTGTCCGCGTCCGGCAGCGTCGACTTGAACTGGTCGTGGGCGGCGATCAGGCCCTGGGCACGGGGCAGGGATGGGCACCCTCAGAGTGACTCCTCAGAGTGACTCCAGAGAGTTATTCCAGAGAGTTATTCCTCAGAATAACTCCGTGGAATTATTCTACAGAGTTATTCCAGAGAACTGTTCCACAGAATAACTCGCAGAATTTATTCCGCAGAATTTTTTCCACAGAATTACTCCTCAGAATTATTCTACAGAATTACTCCTCACAATTATTCTACAGAGTTATTCCAGAGAATTATTCCGCAGAATTCTTCCTCAGAGAATTACTCCTGAATAATTCCACAGAATTATTCCTCAGAATAACTCCGTGGAATTATTCTACAGAGTTATTCCAGAGAATTATTCCACAGAATAACTCCGCAGAATTTATTCCACAGAATTTATTCCAGAGAATTGTTCCACAGAATTATTCTACAGAGTTATTCCAGAGAATTATTCCACAGAATTATTCCTCAGAATAACTCCACACAATTATTCCACAGAATTGTTCCTCAGAATAATTCCACAGAACAGTTCCACAGAATTCCACACAATTATTCCACAGAACTATTCCACACAAGAATTCCACAGAATTACTCCACACAATTATTCTGTAGAATTATTCCGCAGAATAACTCCACAGAATTTATTCCG